TATTCTTAATTTAAATTTATTTTCTATTTTTTAGTTTGGTTTTCTATAAAAAGCGTGTTTTTAGTTTTTTTAAACTATTATTTATTCAGTGATTATAAATAAAAATATGTGCGGTACATTGCCAGAGCCACTGAAAGTGGCAGAGATAGCCGGGCGGCACACGTCTGATTTGGGTGATCACTCATTTAAGCAATAACTTGAATGGGTGACCACTCTAGTCAGCGTTGGCTAGCACGAGGTATCTCTGCTCACTAGGAGAAGGGCCTAATGCTCCAGTGGTCGATAAGGAAGAGTTCCGTATCAATTACTGTAGACTTAGCCCAGCTCCGACTGTACTATCATGGGTTTTTTCTGTGGTTTCTCCATGGTTCTGTTCCAACAGCCTGAGAGGTGAGGTTCAGTGTGAATACGGTACAGACAGCACAAGTCGGTTCACAGCCGCAAAAATTAAAATAAAATGAAGTGTCGGGTGGGACATGCTGAGGTCCAATATGATAGATAGAAAAAAAAAAAAGCGTTGAGCTAGGAGAAAAAGAGGAATCAGCCTTGTAAAAACCGAGAGGTGTACAATTAAAGCATAATAATAATAATATTAATTTGTATATCAATGTTTACGACTTAGTTGTAAGTGGCGCGATTTCTAGTTCTTACTTGATATCGCTGACCAGTTAGTGGTTTAAATCGAGTGAAAACTTGAATAATTCTAATAAGATCATAACATGAAACACTATTGTTCATAACTCTCAACCATTCAAGGTTCATTGCTTTAAAGATATCCAAATTTTCAGCCATTTAGTCCTACTCTGGCCAACCCTTACTCTGTAGAGTACAGAGAATTTGAGAGGCCTCGGGCTCGAGTTTGGGAATCAAGAAGATGTGTGCTTGGATCAACGAATTACTTCTTTGGGATTTGTAAAAACGATCACAATTCGGATACTGATTTAAGTATCCGTAAGCTGAGTTTAAGAGTACAATCATGTGACACCAGCAAAAATGAGTAATATACTAAGTTTTTAAAAGAGTTTTAACTTTGATCTGACAGATGTATCAGATCTAATCTTTTTTCTCCAGTATTATCAGAAGCTTATAGTTCATTATTTTCAGAGTTGTGACGGATGCTCGATTCCATGAACAAGACCATAAGATCCACATCAAGCTTCGATGTGGTGTACTTAAGGACGGTACAATTGATCCACATACTTTAAGATGGACTGAAGACAATGAACGCTTCTCAGAGATCAAACCTCGAGAATATGTTGTGTTGAGTTCAAAGTTGAAATCCTTCAATCTCGACAATGTTGTGGTTCCTAACGGGGTATTAGTCACAGGAGCTGGGTTCAAAGTAGTTGATGATCATTTTATTTCGTTGGTGGTCAAAGGAAATAAGATCAATAATTACAATCATGGAAACACATTTGGTGCTGATGATTTATACCCGGCTCCGAAGTCTGGAAAACCAAGGTAAGGCTACTATGGGTTAATTATTACATCAAATTAATGCAATTTTGTAATATATTTCATGATATTTTTGATTTTGTTCGGCAGGAAAGGCATAGACCTCAGTTTTATTGAAAGACCGCCGAGAATCATGGGTCAAACTCACGAAATGAGTAAATCAGGAGAAAATTACATCAATTTAACTCTCTCCAAATGGTCTAATGAGTATAATAATAATGCAATAGTGCCATATTTCGACATGACTTCATATGGGCCGAAATATGGGCTTCCTTCAGTGGTAACACCCCTGGGTGGACTTGGATTGTTCTACAAGAGTTTGCCAGGTTACACTGGATTCTTGGCCTTCAAACGTCTTTCTCCAACATACGTTTACTACGTTGACAACGAAGTGACAGTTAACTCAGCTCTAAGGACAGCTGGAAAGCGACACAATGGATGGAACTATAGATAAATATAGATCAACATAAAAATTCATGACCTCTCATTGAACAATCTTTGCCAATATATGCTTATAGACTGTTTTTGAAATTACTGTACTATAGCATTAGAGGATTTTTAATAAAATCTAATTCGTTATTTAAAAATTTAGTCTTTTGGTTTTACTTACTTATCAAAATAGCCTCATTAAAATTAACGTCGATTATTGTTGGGACGGTCCAAATCAGTTGATTCGTTCGTGAGTTATCGTTGACAAAAAAAAAATCGAGAAAAATGATTTTTTCGAAGCTAACTTTTTAAGCTTAGACAGCTCAACATAACACATAAATTGTATTTTTGAGCTTTTCAAGCTCAAAAACATCATAAGTGCAATTTTAAGCGTTCAGGTATGGAATTAGCGGGAAGTTGCAGGGATGGCCTTTAGGATCAACCGTTTTCCTAATCTTGCACGCCTCATAAGCGAGGCGTTGAGGTTGTGCTCTACTCTCGACATTTCAAAAAAAGCAGTTTTCTCGAAACTGAAATTGATTTTTTGTTATTTATATCGCACTTACAGATTAATATGAAGACACTTATATTAAGTCGAATAATTTGTCAGGCACATAAAATATATTTTGATAACAATTTTTTTGTTTAACATAGTAAATAATAACATTAAACATAATCTTTTCTGGACGTCCGTGTATAGATGGGTGTATAAGGCAGGGAAATTGGTCGAAAAAATGATCGTACCGAAATAATTTTTTTTTTAATATCTGAAGTAACACACGACGGACTTTCTCAGTTAATATGAGCGTTCAATTCACTGTTATTAAATTATTATTTATAAAAAACTAACATATAACTATGGATTTCTTTGCATATCTATCTATATACATTTTGTTATAGTATTTTTTTTCCTCACCTTAGAGTTATGGCGCCACTAAACTATAGCAGAGTTTTCTGTTTTTTATTATTTTGATTTTTATATTCTATTTCAATCAATTTTATCGTGAAAAATGAGATTATGAGGCGTGCACTTTTGAATTTTCAAAACTTTTTTTAATTGCGACAGTTTTATAGTGAATTTAACGATTTTAGCATTTTATCATAACGATATCAATTTTGCTAATTTTGTGACAATTTATAAGACAAAGGCAACTGTGCAATGTAAGATAGTGATTGTTGTAATTCGTATTATGGTAAATATTGTAATTATATCAATTGTTATGTTATATTGTTGGTTATTAACATGTGTGATTTCCAGATGCTTGAAGAAGGTCTAATAAATGACCGAAACGTCACAAAAATAATAATGTAATTTGTTATTATGATCCTATCTTGTTCACATTCCGGAAATACAAATAATTATTCATAACGATATCTTTTAACAAAATCAATTGATTTCAATATGGTTGCTTTTACGCTAGTAGATAATATCAGTCAATTATTTAAAGTAAGCGCTAAAGCGTCAAATAGACAATGTTACTCTGAAACTTGCAGATACATCTAGTTATAACTAAAACCTTAAGACTGAGTCGATTATAACCTGAAACATTTTAATTATTGTCAAATTCTGTAAAAAGTGTAACTGATATACATATCGTCCCCTTTCTGTGTTAACCTCGTATCTCCATTTTTTTCGAAATTGAGATTTTTAGCGAAAATCACTCCTTAGCACTCTTGTAACGTAAAACAAAACATGCAATGTTCATAAAGATGATAGAATTTTTTTTAGAGGCTTTTGATTTTTCTCGTATCTACATATTCGAATTCAAAAACCTCGTATCTACCGTAAGTATCGCCGAAAACGTTAAAATGGCGTTGTTGTCTTAATACTGAATGTTTGTAAACGTGTGCACCCTTAAGTTGGCTATATTTTGTTGATTGACATTTATTTTTTATCCATATAAATACATACAAATATTATTTAGCTCTTCGAGCTCAAAAGTCTGATAGAAGTTTGATACAACACTATTTTTTAAATTTTCAAACCGCGATAACTTTTGAATAAATGGAACGATTTTTACGCGGTTGGTGACATTCAACGCAATTTTTTAAGCCTCATAAAAAATCTTTAAATTCAATTTGATCGAACTACGAATTTCGGAGTAATTCTGAAAAAACACTTTTTTTGGTTTTCTTTCGTCAACGATAACTCACGAACGAATCAACCGATGTTGACCGGACCGACAGCAATCGACGTAGTTTATTAATGTTAAGAGCTAATTAGTTTTTGGAATTAATCGGTAAAGCCGCTTAAAAGTTATTCCAAAAAAACCATATTAAAAAAAAATTTTTTTTCGTAGTTTTTTTGAAATTTCTTAAAATCTACCGGTGCGAATCAGTCCAAATTATATTTAAAATCTAAGTTCAGTCAAGCCCTTCCAAATTGCACCAACTGCGATAAAATCGGTCAAGCCGTTCAAAAGTTATGAGAGGTTTACATACATCCACGCACACACATACACACATACATACATACAGACGTACAGACACCATCATGGGGGTGGTCAAAGAAGCTTCCTGAGACCTTGAAACGTCGAGATCTAGTGAAAAATCAATTTTTACAAAAGGGGGTAAAACCAATAACTTCCCGATTTTTTAAGATCTCCGATTTTCTTAGCGGGAAGTTAAAAATAATGAAATCATATTATAAATAGTAATCACATGATTTATAACATATTAAATCAAAATCAAATAAATTTGTTTAAATTAATAAATATAAAATAATAATGAATTGAAAGCCTTGCATAACAGAATTTTTCGCCAATGATCTTATAGAAAAAACAATTTTTTTTTGTTTTAAAACCTCGTATCTGCAAAAAATCACCAGGGTGTTTGATGAGAAAACTCGTATCTACATGAAATTGACAATAACAACAAAGCATCGATGCAGATAGCAAAAATCATGTTTAATTCTTTTAAGGTGATTGATAAAGAGCATAAATTTGAAATTAGTTATAACTTTTTATAAAAATTAAGTAACTCTAAACGTTTTTATCGATTTACCGAAAATTACGATTTTGTAGATACAAGGTTTACACAGAAACGGGACGATATACAAACTTTTGAATAAAATGTATTTTCTAACTTAACTAAACTAATGGAGTCAGAAATCATCAAAATTTCTCATTTGATCGTAACATTTATAAATCTAGAATTTTACTTTCGTCTATAAGATTTTAATCCGCTCTGAAATTGAACCCCTTAAGCAATCACTTACAAGAAATCCTCCGTCTGTATAAATTGTCATTAAGCAGCAATAATGATAAAGAAGAATCTCTATAAAACGAGAAATAACCGCGAGTATGAAACACGCGTCCATATTAACGATATCTCAAAAGGAAATGTAATAAACAACAAACTGGACTAATTAAGAGATAATACAGCATTTAAACAGTTCGTTAACATCAATTGGTCTCTGTCCCAATGTTTTTGCAAGACACTTAAGATATCTCTTAATTATGGACCATCCTCAAAAAGTCTTCGAGAAACTTAGTTCCAGTTTTAAGAGACTGTTTATATGCCGCAGACTCATCATCATCTTAATCTCCATAAAAACTTTATCTTGAAACAGAAAAAATATAAAACTTTCAGTAGGACAGCATCATCTTAATGTAGATACATTAACCAGCAACCAGAAACTACTGAAATATTTTTCATTTTACCTGCCATGACCCTCAGATCGCTTTCTGACAATAAAAAAAAAAGACGGCTCAAGAATTTCATGGTCTCTAGGTCATTCCAACACAACACGCCGCAATCATGGTGAGTGGTGGGCAAAAACATCGAAAAACAATTCCGGCAAAAGTGTATTTTTGTCTTGTATGTGCAATGGTCAAAAATAAAAAAAATAAACAAACGAAAAGAGTTTCGCAGTTGGATAAAAGATATTATAGTCAGAGTCATAAGGAGCGTTGGAGAACGTTTGTGTGCGTTATCGGTGGAGAATCGGAAGAACAAGAGCGCGGTATACCCATAACCGTGGATCAACTTCTGGCTACGACCCTGTTCGTAAATACAACCAGTCTCCACAAGTACTGTACATACCTGATGCAGACTACCTGGCTAGCTGCATCTCCTGCTGGTATACACTGCTGGTACTCCTACTGCCTGACCAGTCAAGATACTGAACCTTACTCTCCAGAAAGGATTAAAAAAGGAAAGATTGCTGCTGACTGGATTGTGCTATCAAGTTGGAAGTACATGCTGATGTATGTTTTTTTTTTTTGCTTTTTTTTGTCTACTTTAGTCTAAAAATAATAAGCATCAGCATACATCGCAGCAATCGTCTACTTGATATACTTAATACACTAACCTGCTGTGTATTGTCATGGTTTATCGGTGTTTGTGATCAATTAACTCATGACTTTTGAATTTGGGTAACTATTGTTCAAGAGGCATCAATGCTTAAAGTCTAAGCAAGCATTTGTGGAGTTTGCAATTGGTTTTTAGGAATTGGAACACTTTTTTTCAAGTGATTAGATAATTTGTTTAAATTAATACTTATGGTCATTTTCAATAAACCAATCTATAAAATTTCTGATTTTGGATATTTATTACTTTAATTAAGCATTTAATTTTTGGTTCGAATTATTGGAAGTAGCTTTTTCAATTTGAATTTCATAAAAAAATTGAAATCAATGTTTGTTTTAGCTTTCAATCAATAAACAGAATTTTACTGGAAATAAGTTAAAAAATTCGTTTTTTTCAAGCGTTTATTGTATAAAAAGGTCTTGTTTTAAGCAAACTGATAGCAACCATAATAATTTTTACAGTATTTGCAATTTTATTCATATTTCTACAATTTAAGTGGAAAAAATCATGTAACTCATGCATAAAGGGCGTGTAAAAAAATTTTTTTTTCTCCAATTGACAATGTTAGAAATGTAAAAATTTATCAGATAAATGAAAAATAAATTGATTTTTGATTCACGCCCTTTTAACTTAAAGAAAAATAATTTTTAAAACCAAAAGGTCGTAAATCAAAAAAATTTTTATTTTTCAACTATTGGATGTAGAAATTGAAGA